GTGCCCCCCCGAAGGTCGGATGGGGTCGGATTCCCCCACTTACATCTTCCCGCCACCGCGACTTCGTCCCGCTCTCCTCAGCCGCTGAGGTCGGCGACGCTCAGTTGTCAGGGTTAGGGAGCGGGAAGACGCCGTTCGGCGCGCAGCGATGACGCAGAGCCTCTCCGCCAATGGGCGCGAGCGCGCGGAGTGTTAAAGGGCCAAGGCGGGTTGTGGGGAGACTCACTGGGAATTCTTACTCTGTCACTCCCTCTGCAGGGGTGCTGGGCTGCCCTGGGCTGGCTACGCGCCTCAGGGGGCCGACACGTTGGCTGCTTGTTGGGGCTGGAAGGCCTGAGCCGCTCGGGCAGCTGAAGGGGCGGCGCGGGTTTGGCTAACGTGGCCCCGCCTCTCTCCATGGCCCCGTGTCTGGGCTCGCACGGACCTGGCGGTTTCCCGGGCGCTAAACTCCTTACGGATTTGTTTCGCGCCCCGGGGGACCGGGCGGTGGCAGCGGCCTTTGGCTGCAGGTCTTGGAGGCCCGCAGGGCATGAGCATGGGCATGGGCATGGGCGGGTCAGCGGATGGGTTCGTGCGGTTAGAAACCACGCGTGGTGTGCGTATTGGCCGTGAAGACTGGCTTCTGCACTGGCGAAACTCGGCCGGAGGGACCAGACGGGGCAGTGCGGCCAGAACGGACGGGGTACGAAAGGCAAGGTAGAAGATAAGGTGCCAAAGGGAAGGCGTCTCGGAGGAGGTGACACTGCAGCCCGGTGGAAGGGCGCGCCGGCAGAGGGAACGTCATATGCAAAGGCGCGGAGACTCGTTGGAAGACGCGAAGGGAGGCCGGTGTGGCGGCTCGAAGGCCGGGGCTGGGAAGGTGCAGTTCGGCGGTGCGGGGGGACGTGGAGGGTGAGCTAGATACCGCCTGAGGCCTCCCCCTTCCCCCCAACCACCCTCCCTGCCTGTGGAGGGCGTGGGCTGGGAGGCACAGGAAAAGGCAGAAGAAGGGGTGAGGGTGTAGAGGCCCCGACCCGGCCAGCCTACTTGAGAGGGCCAGGCTTTTGGGTTTTGTTCCCTTTTGTGCCAACCGCTACCCCCCACTTCCGCCCCCCTCCCCCAGTCCCCGCCTCGGTGTCTGGCAAGAAGTCCTTCCTTGACTTATTAGTGGAGGAAGGAATGTGCACCCAGCCCCAGACATTGTCTGCACAGTTAGGTGCTGTAAGGAAGAGAAGGGAATAGATCCTAGATGATTTTTTTTTTTTGGAGGAAGGAATCCATGTGACTTGGAGACGGATTAGATGTCATCAGGGAGGACTGGCTTGGTGACTTGGGGTGGATGGACGGTGCTGTGGATGCCCTCTGCAAGTCACTGCTCTTTGTTCTACTGGTGTTCCCAGCCAGTGATGGTGACTCCTTTCCCTCCTCCAATAGTGTCTCCCACCCAGGGATGTCAAGTGTGCCCCTAACACCCCACCCTGTACTGAGGGTGTCTGAGGAGTCCCGCACAAATGAGGCGTGGGAGGAGCAACCTGCCCCCCCCCCCCCCCCCCCCGGTTGAGCCCGTCTGGGTTGGTGTCTTCCCTTTGGATTTAGATTTGATGGCAGGGATGAGGGGGCATTTAGAGCAAGTTAAATTCTCTGCATCACTGTCACATCCGCCAAGGCCAGGCATGGAAGGGTCAATGGGACAGAAGGGCAGCCTTGGTCCTGCAGCAGTGCAGAGGCCCAATGTTCGCATTGGGGTTGGGGTGGCCTCTGTGGTCCAGGCCTGGAGGTCTGTGAGGAGGCTGTGGCAGCATGCTGGAGCCCCACACATCCTGGGCCAACCCTCAGTGGGTGCCTGAAGGGCTTGAACTCCAAGCTTTTGCCCAGGGCCGCAGTGACACCCCGGTTGGGAGGGGGCAGGCCCGTGTCCCTAGCATGAGGAGAGAGGGATGGGGAAATAACCAGCTGGCCTCACAAACCCCTTCTGCTTTTTGAAAATGTTCTAATGCAATATACTAGTAATTTGACATGCATTTAAATTTTAACACATTTAATCTTTTTTTTAATAATTAGGGACTTTTATTGAATTTATTGGGTGACATTGGTTAATAAAATTACAGGTTTTGGGTGTACAATTCTATAATCTGTGTATTGTATTGTGTAACACATTTTATATAAAATGTGATTTATCACATGAAATTAATCAAATTTGTTTCTAAATATTACTGATTTTTGTTATCAAGTGTATTATCATCTGGTGAGCTTTAATATTTAAGCATCCTGGCTTTTGCCATTTTGGGGATCGGCAGAATGTGTTTGGAAGAAACATGAAAAAATAAAACTAGAGGCTCTTGTCCTTTCCCCCCCTCCCAGCCCCCAGTGCCAATGTGCTGAGGCCATGGGGGGCTGAGGGCTAGGAGCAGGGGCCTTCAGAGACTTTAGGAGGTCATTGGCCCAGATTTGACAGAGGGGGTGGGGCAGGGCTCCTGTGGACGGGGCATTTGGTCGCCAGCCACAGGTATCCTGTGGGCTCTGGCCAGTGTCCTGAGTCCCCCTCCCTCTCCTCCCAGTGCTGAGGGCCGGCCACCTGTTGGTGATGTGGGGCTGCTCTCACTTTGAGAGCATACCCTCATCAAAGTAGTAGAATGTTCCCTCTGCCTCCATCCTCTGTGGGCCTGATACCCTATGCAGTGCCTGCCCTTGGAGGCTGGTGATCCTGGACACAGAGAGGGTCAGGGATAGCTAGGGTTGTGCTGGAGGTCATGGTGGGCCACTGAGAAGCTTTGAGCAGGCATTGTGACCCCTTGTAAGCCTGCACTTTTACCCGTTGCCAGCAGTCTCTGTGCCAAGGGCAGATGTGGCCCAGCCAGGTGGAAGAGGGGTTTGGGTGGGGTCAGGGAGGTTGTGATGGCTCAGTGACCTTGGGGGAGGCCTTAGAAGAGGCGACGGGTTCCTAAGGCCTGCCTCCTGTCTGGGGAGGTGAATGCCTGCAGCCCATCATGAAGGAGCCCAGTTGGTACTGACTGGGTCTGAAAGGGCCGTCCAGCCAATGAAGGTCTGGAGTCCTCAGTTAGTGTCTCCAAGGTGTGGGGCATCAAGTCCTGAGCCCCACCTCCCAGCTAGGTCCCCCCTGCTGTAGGCATCTCTGGACTCTCCCAGGAGGCACTGTAGGCTGCTCTCTGGAGGGGCTGCAGGGCCGGGTCGGCTGAGCAGTGGGTTTGGGAGCCTGTGCTGGTTTCAATGCTCAAAGCCCCATGTTTGTTTCTGCCCCAAGGAAGTCAATAGTAACACCTGAGCTGCCCACTCTGGGATGGTCACAGGGAACAGGATGGGGCCTGGCCAGAACTGGGTGCAGAGCAGGTGAATTGTGTGCTGTAGCACTGGGTAGGCCTCAGGTCATGCTGTGGTGTTTGTTGACTGGGTTTGAGCTGTGTGGCCAAGCCCCCAGCCCTCCCCCCTTCCCTTGTGCCTTACACAGCTGGTCAACTTGGAGCTTCTCTGACCTCAGAGGCCTCTGAAGCCAGCACCTGTGGGGTATGGGCCAGGCCCAGGAGTGGGGCCTGGGCAGCAACACGTGTTAAGGAAGGAAGGCAGGGGCCCTGCTCCCCAGGCCTGACCCCACAGCTTCAGCCCCTCCCCCTGTCTGCTTGAAGCCCAGACTACGTGGGCCCATGAGGTGGAGATGGGACTCAGGGCCTAGCACTGTCCTGCCTCCTGGCTGCCTCTCCTCAGGTGCCTGGACCTCTGCATTGTTGCTCCTTCTCTGGTAGTCTCCAGGCCCACCTTCCCTGAGCTCCCTCTCATGCAGGGTCCCTAGAGAGCCCTCTGTTGGGGAAGGGAGACGGGTTGCAGGAGCTTAACCATTCCAGGGTTTGGGATTAGACCTTAGCCAGGGTTCAGGGAACGGAGCCTTTTGTGTGGAGGGTGGGATATCGTACACTTGCCTACTGGCCTCAGCTGTGGCGTGGGGTGAGCGGCCTAACCCAGTGGTTGGCAAACTCATTAGTCAACAGAGCCAAATATCAACAGTACAACGATTGAAATTTCTTTTGAGAGCCAAATTTTTTAAACTTAAACTATATAGGTAGGTACATTGTTATTAACTTAATTAGGGTACTCCTAAGCTGGCCTTTGCTAAAAACGTCCTCAATCTGAGGGGTCGACCTCAGCGAATGTACCCCCACTTCTTCTAATGCCACTTCTTCAAAATAGACT